CCCTCAATTCACCACTCCATCGTCCATTCGTTCGTGTAGTATTGAGCACACGACCGTTCTAAACCCATTAACACATCTCTAGCCAGCCACCCGCTCCATGACCATCCCACACCCACAGCCACACTCCTTTGCTATCGGGTCGGGCCGTTTATGAGAACAATTGCAAGCCCCGGAGGCCAATTTCCCATTAAAAAACGACGATCATTTTCTCACGAGATCATTGGAGGACGCTCCGTGCTGGCAGCCTCCTGGAAGAATGTGTCGCGGAGGTACTCAGATGTTCCGCTAGAGTGCTGGAGATGATGGTAGTGATGGTGTTGGTGGTGACGCTGGTGATGATGGTGTTGGTGGTGATGGCTCAGTGAGGGAAGGGGTGAATCTTTGTTTTTCTCTTTCATGTTGTCTTTCTGTTTATGATTTTCAACCTTAATTTGGATTTTTATTTTCACGTTTTCCTGTCCACTTATTTTTGTTGTTGTCTTGTGGCTTGTTTCTTCCTCTCTTTATCTTTCATTATGGATCTCTCTCTCTCTCTCTCTTCCACTCTCTGTTTTTTCTTTCTCCCTTTCTCTCTCTCTGTATATTTTAATTCCTTTACCTCCTCTCATTCTCTTAGTCTGTCTCCCTGTTTTTTTATTTTTTATTGTTCACTGTCTCTTTCTATCTGCTTGACAATGTATGATTGTTTGTTTGTTTGCTCCTCTCTGGGTGTAAGTGTGTGTTGTGCATGTGTGTGTGTGTGTGTGTGAGTATGTGTGTGTGTGTGTGTGTGTGTGAGTATGTGTGTGTGTGTTTCCTTTCTTTTCTGTCTATCTGTCTGTGTCTCTCCCCCTATATCCCGTACACCCACACCGTCCTCCTGGCCTGGGGGTGTGAGGTTGGACGGGTCTAGGGGCGTCGTGCTCGCAATATGTCTGATCATCTTTTTGAGAAGATCACTGTTGTTCCTCACGCCTGCTGAGTCGCCACTATAGCGCCCATTTCATGCTTACCACCGCGATTATTCACCTTGGCGGGGCATTTTATTCGAGATTCATCACGAAAAATAGGGTTCTGGGAAAGATGTTACCAAGCGATATCGATTCTCAACAAGAGCCTCGGGTGTACATCACAAAATAATGTTTAAAGGCTGGTATAATATCTGATGATTATCGTAAATACTAGATTAAGCCGAGAGTATGTCGAGGAATGGTCATGGGTTTTTTTGTTTACAAACACTAGTCAGCTGTGACGCGCTAGTTATAAACCTTGCCCCAGATTAAGTGATCGCTGAAGGTCCCAGGAGCACCTGTTACCTCCTCTTCCTCCTCTTCCTCCTCTTCCTCCTCCTCCTCCTCACCTACGCATCTTCACCTGACACAGGCGTGGGAACCTCTGGCTCCCTCCTACCACCTCCAGCACCCCCGCCCGCAAGAGTTGGCGGGTGCAGGAGCCTCCATTACCGGACAACAAGAGTGGAGGCACGAAGACCCACCAGCAAGCGGGCCTGCAAGCACGAACGTTAACTAACAAGAGCTCTAATAACTGCATCAGTGACCGCTGCCGCAAACACTGACTCCGTGACCTACAAGCACTAGAGGCGGTAGAGTCTGTAGGAAGCACCACACAAAGTTCAGTGAAGCATAAGCTGTTACTGTAATGGTCTTCATCAGCGGTAATTAACCGAGATGAATGTACCTCAGTCCCCATCATCTTCAGGAAGAGGTAATAATAGTAATAACAAACAAACACCTTAAGAAAAATATTACGATGATATATATGATTAACGTGTAACTATGTAAAGGTATGTTAGATACAGGTGCAAAAGATAATAAACAACCACATCCACGACCATCAAGAACCATATTCAACTACAACCAATACCAACAACCATAAAAATCAACACTAACAACCTCATTCAGTATCACAACAACTACAATCATCACTAATAACTATTGCCAGCAACATAATAACAGCCATCATCACCACAATTAACACTAACAACCATCGTCAGCAGCATAATAACCACAATTCATCAACGTCACATAAATGGAGACAATACCAACATCATCGCCCCTCCCGCACTAGATGTCGTCCACCACGCGTGTAACCTCTCCCGATGACCTTGCCGAGCCCGTTAGGTTTGGTTATGTTAGGTTAGACAAGGAAAGGTTAATATAGGTATGGTTAGACCTTCATTCTTGACCCGTGACACTCAAACACATCTGACAAGTTTCACCAAAATCAGTGACACACACACACACACACACACACACACACACACACGCACACACACACACACACACACACACACACACACACACACACGTCGCCCTGCGGGATGACATTAAACAAAAGTAGATAAGCAGCTGTCGTTCTCCAGCCTTGTGTTGTGGCCTTGATGGTGTACTGCTGCCTCTGCTTCTTCCTTCCCCTGCTGCGTCTTGCCTTTACTGCTACTGTTGATGTGTGTGTGTGTGTGTGTGTGTGTGTGTGTGTGTGTGTGTGTGTGTGTGTGTACAGGTAGCAGCAGAGGGTAGGAGCAGCAGCGGCGTTCTGGGTCGCTGCTCTGAGGAACCTCATTCTCACACCTCTTTACCCTCACACCTCTCACACATCTCATCCTCACACCTCTCACACACATCTCTCACCCTCACACCTCACACCTCACACATCTCTATTTCCATCTCCATAAAGTATTTCTAGATACCTGACAACTAGGAGAGCAATATTTATTATCTAAGTTGTACCAAAACTTTTTTCCCAACACACGAACATAATTTTAAACACTTTCTTTCCAGTTCATACTAACAGAGTCCTCAATACTTTCTTCCCAATTCACACTAGAAGAATCCCCAACATTTTCCCCCAAACTATTTTCCCAAGAGACACACAAAGAGAATTACTAAAACTATTTGTCCACAAGTCCTCCTCAGCACCATAGGCTATCATCATCCAGTGTCCTCCCAGCTGTCACAATACGTATTTATGTCAAGGGTTCAATTCTGTCACTAAAATAACATTGGAACGTACATGTGTGTGTGTGTGTGTGTGTGTTTAGTAGTAGTAGATGTTTATAATGTGTCTACGGCCTAATACCTCAGTGCCATACTAATTGAAAGGTGTTAAAATATTCAGGTGTATTAGAGAGAGATATCAGCACCTCAACGCACCTGGATTTTTCATATCAGGTGTTCACAATGTATGACACTGATTTTTAATGTCGAATGATAGGGAATATAACCTTTTCTTTTTTTACACATAATTACGTTCACGGGTTCAATAATGGTTCTCGTGACTACTATGAACACCTGTACAATCAACAGGTAATTTCCTTTTATTTATTATTAGTCTTAGCAGTAACGCATGATAGAGTATTATAACTAAATACGCCTTTTGTTGTCGTGTTGTGCAAGACGGTATATTATACATCCACCTAACCTGGATTTAACTAACACGAAGCCTGTAATGCGACTAGGTGTTACATGTGTGTCATTGGTGACTTCATTAACTCCAGGTCATGTACTGGCTGGCAAGGTATATGAGGTGGGTTAAATAATCTCCCGGGGCGTCAAGGATAAAAAAGAGAGAAAGTTTGACGTTCATGTTTGTTATGTACAGTAAAACCTCTATATAACGGACTAAGCTCTCCATATAATCCGTTAAATGAGGTTTCATATATAACGGATCCTCTATATACCGGACTAATCTCTCCATATAATCCGTTAAATGAGGTTTCATATATAACGGATCCTCTATATACCGGACTAATCTCTCCATATAATCCGTTAAATGAGGTTTCATATCTAACGGATCCTCTATATACCGGACTAATCTCTCTCTCTCTCTCTCTCTCTCTCTCTCTCTCTCTCTCTCTCCACATAATTCGTTAGAAGGGGTTTCATGTATAACGGATCCTTGATATAGCGGACGTTCATCTGATCATCTCTGTATAGTAAGTTAGATAGAGATTTCACATTTAACGAACCTTTGATATAACGGATTTTCCTCTCCATATAGTCCGTTAAACAGAGGTTTTACTGTACTTAACACTCTTTTCTGTTGCGGGTGACCTCTGTAATGTGGACGATAATATTGCTGTAATAAAAAATCAGCAGCTGTTAGTGACTCGGGCGGAAATCCCTTATTTTGGCTGTAATTTTTTACCTTTTGACCTGTGCAAAGATAATCAAAATAGTCGAATTGTGAAAACAGTTTTGGTGTGTGTGTGCGTGTGCGTGTGTGTGCGTGTGCGTGTGTGTGCGTGTGTGCGTGTGTGTGGTGTGCTGGATCAAGTAACACGGAAAATACTTCAAGGTGATTAACATAAAGCAACAGAAGAGAGAAAGAAAATGAGAAAAGAAAGCGTAGATAAAGGAAACAAAATTGTGTTAATGATAAGAAAGTAAAGGAGAATGAAGAAGAGGAGGAGTAGGAGGAGAAGAATGAGGAAGAGGAGAAGATGGGAAAGAGAAGGAGGAGGATGAAAAAGAGAAGGGTAAGCAGAAGACGAATAATAAAACAACAACGAAGGTAATTAAGAAAAAACCAAAAACATCTTTTATTCATTCTCTACCTTAACCTTCATGGCAGGTGTCGGGAATTATCATCACACACCGTCACTTAACACTAAAGAATATCAAACAAAAGATAATTACCAAACTAAAAAGAAGAAGAGAAGAAGAAGAAGAAGAAGAAGAAGAAGAAGAAGAAGCAGTAGAAGAAGAAGAAGAAGAAGAAGAAGAAGAAGAAGAAGACGAAGACGAAGACGAAGACGAAGAAGAAGAAGCAGAAGAAGAAGAAGAGAAGAAGAAGATGACGAACAGAAGAAGAACAGAAGAAGAAGAAGACGAACAGAAGAAGAAGATGACGAACAGAAGAAGAACAGAAGAAGAAGAAGACGAACAGAAGAAGAAGACGAACAGAAGAATAATAATAACAACAGCTACTGACAGACACTAATCAATTTAGTAGTCAAGTAATACATGAAATTCACAAGAGAAGGTTTAGCTTTCTGTGTCATGGCGAGTCTGTGGCCATGTGTGTTTTGGGATCTACTGGGTGCCATAGTTGATGAAGCTGTTATTTTGGATCAACTGGGTGCCATATTGCCTTTGTGCCATAGTGCCATAGTTGATGAAGCTGTTAGTTCTATACTAAAGAGTTTGAGGAAGTCCTTGGCTAGTAAGTGTGTTATTTCTGAGGTTCTGGCTTCCTTTCGTACTCTTGTGGGGGGAAACATACATACAAAAGGTGTGTGTGTGTGTGTGTGTGTGTGTGTGTGTGTGTGTGTGAGTGTGTGTGTGTGTGTCCCTTAATCATTTATGAAAGAGCAGAATTTACATTATATGAACTTGACCGAGTCTTCCATCCACTCTCCTCCTCCTCCTCCTCCTCCTCCTCCTCCTCCTCCTCCTCCTCCCTTCCTCCTCCTCCTCCTCCTCCTCCTCCTCCTCCTCCTCCTCCTCCTCCTCCTCCTCCTCCTCCACTAACACTGGACACGCCTGACCAGTCTGTAAGCTTTAAGTGGAAGGGGGGTGGAGGGAGTGGGGAGGGGAGGGGAGGAGAGGGTAAGGGAAAAAACAAATTAAATTAAATATTGGTTGAATGACTTGCTGGTCAGTCCATTAACTTACTGGTACTTAATGTAGAAATACTTGGTGGTGAGTAATCTCTTCCCACCAAGATGGATTATTATCATGAAATACCACCATCTTATATTAGCTCCTCTCTTATTGGCTAAAAATGTTCCGACTCTAGCCTATGATTGGATGAGATGATTGTACTATTTATAAGTAAAATGATTATACAGTTTTACCAGTTATCGACAAGTGTTATTGAAATATATTTAGTTTTTGTTTAGATGACGTGATAGTTTTATTTAATTTATCAGCTTATGAAATGAAAACGAATATTTATCTACAAAAAAACAAAATTTCTGATAGATTGCAATATATCCTCAACCAGCTGTGGTGTCTGACTCCTGCAATATCAACGTAACAATGCAACTTTTCAATATATGTACAATGAAAGATAAAAGTCGTGTCGTGAAATTTGGTGAAAACATATACCAAAGGGCTAAACTTTTGGTGCGCTCTGCCTTGTGGTAGGGCTCTCATAATGTTTCACGAGTTATATTTAATCTTCGGACAAAATACCGCGACACGACTTTTGTCTTTGATTGTACACCTGTTCGTATCTAGTAAAGAGATTCCTACACCTGTATATCCGAGAGCCTGATTTTTTTTTTTGTCTCTATGCTGTCAAATTTTCCGGGTATCCTGAGGTCACATTTCGCTAAGATGCTTCACATACTCACATCCTTAAAACAAGTCTATTGGTATGTGCGTATGTTTCTTTATAGTCTTAACCTAACTGTAGTATATTGGCAATGTCTTTTTTATCTTAAGTTTCTTTAAGTCGATGAAGCCATGTGAATGATGGGTGATTGAAGGTGATGTTGTTACGTTTCGGTGGATCTTACATGTTATTGGTCAGCTGTTTTGGTAATACTTGAGGTGTTGATTATTCGGGGGTCTAATAAAATCAAGGTGTGTGTGTATGTGTGTGTGTGTGTGTGTGTGTGTGTGTGTGTGTGTGTGTGTGTGTGTGTGTGTGTGTGTGCTTGCTTTCAGGATGTTAGCATTGCGTTAATGTGAGTGCATAATCAGACAACAGGTAAATTGAATATGCAATTTACCGTCATATTTCTTGATCCTTAAATTCCATTGAATTTCCATAAGGACATTAATATATAAACAATGAAGATCGTTTATCATAGTATGTTGCATTTGCATTATTTATCAACAACAAAATCAAGACAACAAATTAGGTGTTTATGCAGTTGGCGATGAGGTTCCCACGCAGGTAATAACAGACCGGTGATCATCAGTAACGGCTACCACTAGTCAAACTCACCCAGACTGAGGTAAAAACTTTCTGATTCTCTCCCACGGAACTCAAATATGTCGTAGTCTTTTGTGGGGGGGAGGTGGATATTTTTACCATACCATAACCGTGAGGGGTCAGGAGGTGTTGGTGGGTCCCGTTATGGCCTGACCACTGACGGCTGACCTTCCAGGGCTGACCAAGACGTGAGGTCGACCACAGGATGTAGACTTGAATACGAATACAAGGCAGTTTGGGCACAGCGGTGAGGTGAGGTGAGGTGCAGGAAATCCCTTTAACGTGTTGAGCGACCTAACACAACAAGCCTCTACTGTTATTTTACTGTGTTGACTTGTAATGATACAAATAAAAGCACAGGTGCAGGTGAAGTTACAGGTAAAAAGTGTGTAACGATAACCTTTCAAGAGCAATTTACGTAAGAATGTTTGTTGTAGACAAGTTATACCTGATTTTAGTTATGTGCGCAACACACACACACACACACACACACACACACACACACACACACACACACACACACACACACACACACACACACACACATAACCACCCTCGTCGTTCAGCCAAATCTATTACACCTCACCCCATAATGTTATCTGACAGCACCTTCATAACACTTGAGGACTAAAACCGTATCTTACCTGAGACAAATGTTGCATCAACTGTGAGGTAGAGGGTGGCGGGGTGTTCCTGCAGGTCATGTTCACTCACATAACTCATGAAAGCAAATTTCCTGTCATCATAATCCATCAATGGTGAGAGGAGTTCATATTATCGTGATGGGTGTGTGTGGGAGTGTCTGGGTGGGGGGTGGGTGTGTGTTTGTGGGGGAAGGGCGGTGGATTGGGTGTGTATAGAGACAGACAGACAGACCTGAGTTGATACTATATGAGGGTGGCACTCTCTACCAGGGTCGGGTGCCACAGTGTCTAGGCCACCTGACTACCTCCACCTGCACAATAACCACAAAAACGCACAAGGTAATTAACGGAGGGTCAAAAATCACCAATCGTCACAGGTGAGCCAGGAGCCAGGTGTGGTTATTGTTAATTATTTTACTGAACATTGACACTGTTTATTGGGATGTCTGTCTATTCATATGCTTAAAACTCTATCGATCTATCTACTTAAATAGATACAAGTTCTCACAATTATTTTTATTATTATCATTATCATTAACATTTGTCGCTAACATATCGTTCTTCATACTGACCCACGTGAAAATAAACCACACAGTTCCAACAGTCATAACAGCGCAGGTAAACACGGGGCGGGTCACACCTTCCTGCCACACCACCCTCACCCAGGGCCATGACCAGCCATCACCATGCACGTCTTGCTGTGTAAACTTGACCTCAATGCTGGGCGGAATAATAACGCAAGCTGCACAAGTCCTGGGAGTGTGGTCTTACGGTCCTAGCAAGAGGGTGTTGGTGTCTTACGGGATGTGTTGCGGTCCTGGGAGGTGTGTTATGGTCCTAGAAGGTGTGTTACGGTCCCAGGAGATGTGTTATGGTTCTAGGAGGTATGTTATGGTCCTAGAAGGTATGTTATGGTCCTAGGAGGTGTGTTATGGTCCTAGAAGGTATTTTATGGTCCTAGGAGGTGTGTTATGGTTCTAGAAGGTGTATTATGGTCCTAGATGATGTGTTGTCCTAGGAGGTGTGTTATGGTCCTAGGAGGTGTGTTACGGTCCCAGGAGATGTGTTATGGTCCTAGAAGGTGTGTTATGGTCCTAGAAGTGTGTTATGGTCCTAGGGTATGTTATGGACCTAGAAGGTGTGTTATGGTCCTAGAAGGTGTGTTTGCGGTCCTAGGAGGTGTGTTATGGTCCTAGGAGGTGTGTTACGGTCCCAGGAGATGTGTTATGGTCTAGAAGGTATGTTATGGTCCTAGAAGGTATGTTATGGTCCTAGAAGGTGTGTTATGGTCCTAGGAGGTGTGTTATGGTCCTAGGAGGTGTGTTATGGTCCTAGGAGGTGTGTTATGGTCCTAGAAGGTGTGTTGCGGTCCTAGGAGGTGTGTTATGGTCCTAGAAGGTGTGTTATGGTCCTAGGAGGTGTGTTACGGTCCCAGGAGATGTGTTATGGTCCTAGAAGGTGTGTTATGGTCCTAGAAGGTGTATTATGGTCCTAGAAGGTGTGTTACGGTCCCAGGAGATGTGTTATGGTCCTAGAAGGTGTGTTATGGTCCTAGGAGGTGTGTTACGGTCCCAGGAGATGTGTTATGGTCCTAGAAGGTGTGTTATGGTCCTAGAAGGTGTATTATGGTCCTAAAAGGTGTGTTATGGTCCTAGAAGGTGTGTTATGGTCCTAGGAGGTGTGTTACGGTCCTAGGAGGTGTTATGGTCCTAGAAGGCATGTTATGGTCCTAGAAGGTATATTATGGTCCTAGAAGGTGTATTATGGTTCTAGAAGGTGTGTTATGGTCTTAGAAGGTGTGTTATGGTCTTAGAAGGTGTGTTATGGTCTTAAATGATGTGTTGCGGTCCCAGGAGGTGTGTTATTGTCCAAGGAAAGCAAACCAACGCTCAAAGGCTGAGTACATAGTTACTGTCAACACAAAAGCACACATGACCCCCACTGCCGCCACCAAGTAGAGGGGGGGTGAAAGGGAAGAAAATGAGAAGAAGAAGAATGGGAGTAGAAGGAGAAAGAAAAGATGAAGACGGAAGAAGATGAAAATAAGTAGGAGTAGAAAGAGAAGAAAATGAGAAGTGGAAGAAGAATGGATGAACCACCACCACCATCATCATCATCATCATCATCATCATCATCATCATCATCATCATCATCATCATCATCATCATCATCATCATCATCATTACCCAATAATGTCAATGGCATAGAGGGATATAACATGCAAGTTCATTCAAGTTCAAAGATCATGACCCATCCATTGCAAAACGATTTATTTTTTTTTTTCAAGGAAGGAAATCTCTCAATGAATTACAACGAATAAAGAAAAATATTATATGCTACTATAACCATCTACTCGAGTTAAGTAAATATTAATTGAAGTTATGACATTGAGTATAATATGAACCAGATATATGAAAATTTACGAATGCTTAAATAAAAAAAACAGATTGTCTTATTTTTCTCATAGTTCAAGATGCTGTGGTTATATACATCAGCTGACAATGGTGGTCGTAGAGGTATATAGTTAAAAGATTTATCTATGTTTATCTGTGTAATGACAGGTACGGCCACAAGAGGGGGTAAGAGTGCAGACTATATAAGAAATGATGAAGTTTTGGTGTTAAGTGTGAAGAT